TACTTCTCTTTAACCAAATCTTCACTCAAACTCTTGAGAACCGCTAAAGAACTTCCTTTACCTCCACTTAAGTCAACGCGTTTTGCATTCAATTCATTGAATCCCAAAACAAGTGACAAATCATTTGTTAAGGATTTACAGGTTTTGTTTGATTCCTGTATTTGTGTCTCATTTTCGTCTAATATATAACACATTCCCTCGAATTCATTGATTAAAAGTCTTTTTGCAGAACTATTTTCATTGCTTTCGATAACAAAATTATAATCTTTTTCATCAAATGTTGCCTTAAAATACATTAATTTTTTATCATTTAATTCCACAAAGTTTTGTTTATTAAGCGATAAATCCGTGAGTTTTAAGAGATGTCCCCTTTTGTGGAATAGAAATCCAAACCGATATTCATATCCATTATTATTAAAAATTAATGCCAAATGAAAACCAATGCCTTAATACGAATGAAGTTATATTAAGTTTAATATAAATTCAAATGATTTTTAAATTTTTAATCATACCCTCTTTAGTGTATCCAATAATCCGCTTAATATTTCTATTCACTTGTTTTGTGGTTAAAAATTTTTTACTAATAGATCCCCAAAAGTATAATTGTTTCTCTTCTTCCATATCTTCTTTGAAATTGCCTTTCATTTGTCCGAATTGTTCGAAACGGTCTTCTAATTGATCCACAATTTCATTGTCTCTATTCTTGGATCTCATCATCTCTTTGGCCATAAAGTGATCGTTGAAATCATGTGTAAAATCTGCAACTCTTGACACAGAAGTCCATAAGAATCTGAATTTGACGTAAACTAAATCCTTGTTATTCTTCGTGAGATATCCCCTAAACTTAATGCGTTTCCTTCTAAAGGGTGACATAATCTCTAAGCCGAGTCCACACACTCTGTATTCATTGCTCCGGTACTCGACCTCCGAGTCCTCCTCTAATGTATAGCTATTACTGTTGTTGTCATCAAATCTCAAACTAATGGTTGCATTGATCTTATCGTTCACTNCTCCGAGTCCTCCTCTAATGTATAGCTATTACTGTTGTTGTCATCAAATCTCAAACTAATGGTTGCATTGATCTTATCGTTCACTCCTTTTGGTCTCCATTTGATTGCAATATAAATGCTTTGTTTCGATGAATTCACGCCATATATCAATAGATCTTCATTTTTAGTCTAAATTTAAAATTCATTTAAAAAATGTTAATTAATATCATATATCACTCAATACATACCTGTTGTGGTAATTCATATTTCCATTCGTGAGGAAAGGGAATAATGCCCGCATCCGAACAGTTATTTTTCCAGACGTCATGAGTTAACACTCGGTTTGTCTTCTGTTGTCTTCTTTTTGCCCATAATTTCCAGAATTGAGTCAAATATGTAAACCACTGGCCATTGATCTCACGGTTTAGTGACAATAATTTATTGAAATATATTGTAATCACAGGTATCGAGACTAAAAGACCCATTATATCACTAGAACTAAAAAATTAATTCCAAAATGTTTTAATCAACTTTGAAAGTCAATCGATAGAAATGAATGAGAAATGTTGTGATATTTATACATATTGTGAAAAAACATTTTGAAATCTTATCCTTTTCGTCTGATAAGTGAAGCCTTAATGACGTTCACATCCCACTAATCACATCAGATAATTAAATAATAATTAAATAATAAAGCACAATTAAATGTATTCATTAGTGCAAACTTTCTATTGCAATACAATAAATGTATGACAACTATTTGATTTACATTGTGTTTTCACGTGTTTTGTATTAAATTAATACTATTAATACATTCTGTGTTGAAGTTTCAATGGGCGGAGTTGTACTACAAATCGTAATCCACAACTCAAGGATCTTTAATATTTCATACAATTAACTTAATCAAGTTATTGAGTTTAATCACTGCTTTAAAACTATTTATCTAATTATTATCTATATTATAATTACATTCCTATTATTTTTCCAATTACCAACTTGACAATTATTTAATATTATACATAAAAACAAATTAATAACAATACTATCTTCATCTTGCTATGCTTATTTCAATAAATATTTTACCAATCTAATACAATCTAATAAATGATAAATATAAGACAAATAATTCATAGTACATGATGATTCAATATAAGTCAGAAATTTCAATACAAATATTTAGTGCATTAAGTTAATGTTGCTAATAAAATTTATTGTAGTTAAAATTGCAATGAGTTTGTTATCGTCGGCACAAAATTATTGTGCTGTAAAGTAATGGTAAAATCTTTAGATACCATATAATTTATAAGTGTGCTTTTGCACTAAACAGGGTTGATAAGACTGCACTAAACACTCAACATGCTCTTATTATGCAATATTGAGCTACTGGTTAAAGTCTATCATTAGCTATATTAAAAATATTTAATGAGTGATTAATAATCACGCTTATACAAATTCAAGTTATAATTGTATTTATTTTTTAATGATAATAATTAAATGACATTTAACACTTTTATCAATTCTCAATTATTAATTTTATATATTCTATCATTATCTTTATTTGGTTAATAGTAATGTATTTAATGAATAATAATTATTACAAAAACAACCTTTTTTGACTCATTTAATATTCGATCATAACTAATCGACACTTTATAATTAAACAAAATTTAATTTAATATATTTCTAATCATATAACAAATTCACTCGACTTTAGTGAATAAACATTATTGAAAATTAATCATTTGCATTATGCAAATAATACGCTTATTTCATTTCTACCCTTATTTTATTAAAAATTGTCTCATTCAACAATTTGTATGATGCAGTTTATATAGGAAAACAATGGTAATTAAGAAACAAACCTTTGATTTAAATTAAAACAACAATTAATAATCAAGAACTATGTTTTTTGTACATTAATAATTCTTTATTTATTATGTGAGTATAATATTTTATATGAGTGTTAAATAATTCAATTTTAAACAAATGGCAAATCAAATTGTATAACTTGTATAAAGCTTAAAATGATTTCTCATGTTATAATAAATTCACTCGACTTTAGTGATGGTCTGTGTCTTAGTGTCCAATAGACAGATATCGCCGGTCCTGAAGGCACGACACGCGCCCCCACTGCTATCAGACTCGGGATCCCGTATTCGCGGGCAATGACTGCCCCGTGAGATATCGTTCCACCGATTTCTGTGATTATACCCGAAAGTAATGGGAAGTATGGACTCCAACCGATGTCCGTCGAGTACGTGATCAGAATATCTCCCGGCTATCAACACATCACACATTATAACACATTTAATGATTAATATTAATAATAATTATAATTACCTGAATATTATCGGCTTCTGTAATGTCTTCAGACACACAAACCCTCGCTTTTATGGATCCATTACTAACAGGAGTTCCCGTCATCTGAACCATACCTGAGCTCAAAACGGGAGGAATAATCCGGTCCTCAAACTATTAAAACAGTAAATCAATTAAAACTTATAATTAAAAAATGTTTATAATTGCATACATTTCTGGGTTTCATTTCGGGTCCTTTAATAAACTCTTCGAACTTGTATTTATCCATTCGAGGGTAAAGTCTTCGCCGTTGTCTAACTCTTGTCAGTATCAGTGGATCCCTATCTCCACTACAGAGAGCCTCGACTTCATTGACAGTGAGATAAAAGAAACACTCGGCGGATGGGATCAGACCTTCGCTAACCATTTGTTTCGACAATAATCTAAAACTTTCCCTGAATTTATTGTTGACCCAAATCATGAAATACTTTGATAGCTCTCGATATCCGACTCCACGTCTACTCCACGGAAGTAATACTTTTCGTATCAATAATTTCTTAATGAATGAAAGCGGAGTCTTGAGCTCTTCCATCACTTGATCCACAGATTTGGATACTTTTGGTTCCAATAGGGATTCATTTCCCGATAAAACGCTCTAAAAAGTTATCATGGTAAATTAAGTTTTGTTAACAAATAATTTGTAAACTTTTACTTTAATTGTTTTGACGCAAGGAATCGGATTTTCTTTCCACGTGTGATACATTGGATCCAATTCCCGATACCCTCTGTGTCCGTGTCTATCGAGAAATTGTCTGAATTTAATGGATGTCTCATTGCTTCCAGTTTGCAGTACTTGAAGCGCTTCCTCATCACTCAATTGTCGGAACCATTGCTTATCTTTAATAGATTTTGCGATTTCACGCAAACTGTTGGGCACTTCAGCGCTGATCACATCATTACACGACGATATCATTAAATTATAATCTGAATCCATATCTGGATTATTAGCTAAAAATTTAAAACTTGTTATAATAGCTATATTTGTGCTCAAATTTGCAGATAATACTCACGTAAAGCGCCCTCCAAAACAAACTTCAAGATCATATTCTTAATCGATGAGCTCATAGAGACGGGTCCGTGAAATCGGGTGTCATTCGAGATAACAAAAAATTTGTCTAATAATGCTTTCCAAATGTCTTTCGCAGTGGACAGGCGTTGCAATTCGTAGACAACACTGTGTTTCTTGTTTTCCATTATTTGTGTCTTTAATTTTATGAGTTTTGTTGGACTAAAGAGTACGGAATCGATGGCCATAAACGCCATTTTAAGTTTCCCATAAAGCGATGACTTTTTCTTTGCCAATCGATTCTCTTTAAACACTTTGAGAACGTCTTTGTCGTCGAAGTGATGGCCAAACATTGATAATACCATTTCTCGGGACACTTTGTCCTCCGGGTAGTCATTAAAAAAGCCGAAACCCCCCTAAATATGACCCAAAATTTGACAAACAATTAAAATCAAATTATAAGTATCCATGTGCAAAACTTACACTGGTCAAATTGAACATCAATTGGTTGTATTCAATGCCCAATATTTCAAAATATGGATTATAATCTTCTTCGTCCATTGCCCCGTGTTGTATACCCTGACGCTATAATTGTTAATAACAATTTAAGTAACATGGTCAATTAAATTTAGCTAGATGATATTGTAAACATACTGAAAATACAACACGGTTACCCCAAAACCATTGCAATACAATCCATGATGATGAGCCTGGAAACATTTCCCCGCAATGGGTTCGGGTATAGATTTCAAACTCTGTCGGATGCGATGAATCCAATTCATGCATAATCTCGTAATCGGTGTAAGAATTGTCTAAATTAGTTACGGGTCTCGACTGAAGCATAAATATTTGGCCCCCTTTTAGACCCCATTCTATATCTCTTGCGTTNTCTCGACTGAAGCATAAATATTTGGCCCCCTTTTAGACCCCATTCTATATCTCTTGCGTTTCCGTAATGTCTGTGAATCTGAAAAATATTATTAATTAATAATTAAAATATTATAATTATAAAGAATTCAAACCTGAAGTCCAATATCTCCCAAACGTAATAAGTCTTCATCACTAATACAGCAGTTGTTGCTATCGTTGACCTCTTCCTCAACAGTGCCTCCATTTTCTAATAATCTAATGAATGTCTTCTTCTTTCCGATGACTTTGGATTCAATGCCAATAATATGTCTTCGTTTGGACAAAGAGTTGGACTCAGGTATGGATTATTTATAATTATAATAATTTTATTCATTAATTAATATTAATTTTCAGATTCACAGACATTACGGAAACGCAAGAGATATA